ACAGAGACCATGGAATGGAGCAGATACAAGGGAAACCTCCAGCATGGGCACTACAGATTGAAGGTCACAGTGTCTTTCACTTGGAGAACAAAAGTTGATATATTTGTTCCTCATGATGCTCCTGCTCTGTACTACACCAACCAGCAGCCCTTTCCTAGGTCTGTGGTGGAAGGAAGAGGTGTGTGGGGATTCAGGGCTGCGAGCACAGTGTCCATATGGAGAAAAGTTGAGTCTGGATAACAAGGAAAAGATCCCAACAGGAATTACAGCTAACAAAATATTCACAGATGAAAAGCTGAGATGAAGTGCCTCAGTTTTGCTTCTAACAGTTCAAACCAGCAAATGTGTGAATGAGAGTCTGGAAGTCAGGTCTGGAGCAGTAATGGAAGAGATTGGATGAAAAAGTGAATGTGGTTTTTGTGTCACTGGGGAGCAGGCACAAGATGTTAACCCCTTGGTAGCTCAGGTATGAGGTCACCTGCCAGACCTGATGGGTGGTCCATCCCAGTCTTGAAGATGGGCTTTCATTCCCCAAAACATCTGTTTTCCTTTGGCCTCCAAGGAGGCCAGTACCAGACATTGCCATCTCATGCACAGTTTGTTCCTCATCACTTGTATTCCCGTGGCCACGGCCGTGCTGCCATCCCAAGCGTTCCCAATCATGGCCCAGTCTTACAGAAATCACGATGTTGGTGGAAAAAACAATGAGATTGAAAAAACAATACCGTAGGGTGCTTGCTCTGCTGGCTTTGTTTCAGAGGAGCTGCACATCTCCAGCCAGGAGGGCTGGACGAGGGGAACACTGACATCTGAGCGTGCCTCCACATTGTCCTGCTAGACAATGCTTCCGGGTCCCTCAGGGCCAAAATCCTCCTCACACATGCCATGGCTGCCCTTCAGGGTGTCCTGGCAGTGCCTTGCTGACGTGCAGGGGAAACCTCAAAGGTGCCCAGCCCTGACAATGGCTTCCAGAGCAGCTGTGCCTGTCACCCTCCCACCCCCCCAGGCCTCTGCCTCCAATGCTGCTCCTCAGCCAAAATGCAGCCCACAATGGCCTCAACCTCCTTCCTTTCAACTTGTCACCTCGGTGCCCTCCTGCCCACTCGGGCTGTTGCAGTGTGTCCCCATCAGCTCACAGCTGTGGCCTTATCACATCAGGACTCCCAGCCCAGCTCCACTTAAAATCATGGAATATGAATGGTTTGGGTCAGAAGGGACCTTAAAGCTCAACTCGTTCCACCCCTGCCATGGGCAGGGACACCTTCCACTGTCCCAGCTTGCTCCAAGCCCTGTCCAGTCTGCTCTGGGCACCCTGTGCCAGGGCCTCCCCACCCTCACAGGGAACAATTCCTACCCAATATCCCATCTAATCCTGCCCTTTGGCAGTGGGAAATTATACCCCCTTGTCCTACTACTCCAGATCCTTGTCCCTCTCCAGCTCTCCTGGAGCCCCTTTAGGCCCTGCAAGGGGCTCTGAGCTCTCCCTGGAGCCTTCTCCTCTCCAGGTGAACACCCCAGCTCCTCCAGCCTGGCTCAGAGCAGAGGGGCTCCAGCCCTGTCATCTGAAGTGGCCTCCTCTGGACTTGTTCCCACAAATTCACCTCTACCTTGTGTTGGTGGCCCAAGAAGTGGAGGCAGCTGCAGATGGGGTCTCACCTGACCAGAGCAGAGAGGAGGCAGATGAGCAGCCTTGTGAGCTCCTGCTGGTGGAGGATGAGGAGTAAGAACTTCCCTCTGTCCTGGCCTTGCTGAGGTAATTTCACACCTGTGCTGGTGACCAGAAGTGGGTGACACCGTCTAAGTTGTGTGACACAGTTTAAGCTGACTCCTGCTTTTGTGTGGAGCTGGCTAATCCAGGCAGGATGTGCTGCCTGCACAAGCAGCAGGGTCACCCCTGGGTATCCCCTGCTGAGGGCTGAGGTGTCCAAAGCTGGGCAGAGGGGCATCAGTAAGGGCCAAACCAGCAGCTAAGAAGGGAGATGGAGTGGTGTAGGATTGCTTTTACTTTTTAATTTTTTAAAAATAATTGTTGAACTTAGTGCTTGGTAGGGGGGGAAGACGTGTACACTGTTAGAGATGTGGTGAAAAGCACTTCAATGATCATTTTCCAGAGAGCTCATACTCTGGATTTATGGCCTGCAGCAGCAATAGAAAGATGCTGGTTTCTGTTTCCTGCATGTCTGCAGATCCATAAACTCTCAGGCAACTCTTGGGTCAGTACAGAACGTTCTCTGTGTTTATGCTCCCTTCTTTCCCCTTAGCAACCCTGCAAAGAGCACAGCTCACAGAGGTCAGGCTGTGTTTGCTGCCAGTGGGCTCTGAGGGGCTGTTGTGGCAGAGGGAACAGGTCTCTGCTTCACGACTGGCTGGTGCTCATTGAAGTTCCCCTGACTGGCCTGTGGAGCAACAATGTGTGGAAGGGCTCCTATGGAGTAAGGATATGTGCTGAGAAATTTGAGCTTATGCTGGGGATCACAGAATTGTCCTGAGTGGGAAGTGACCTTAAAGCTCATCCAGCCCCATGCCATGGGCAGGGACACCTTCCACTAGATTAGTTTGTTCCAAGCCCTGTCCAGCCTGGCCTTGGACACTTGTAGGGATGGGGCAGCCACAGCTTCTCTGGGCACCCTGTGCCAGGGCCTCAGCACCCTCACAGCCAAGAATTTTTCCCAATATCATCAAACCTACTCTCTGTCAGTTTGAAGCCTTTCCCCTTTGTGCTGTCACTCCAGGCTCTTGTGAACAGTCTCTCTCCATCTCTCCTGCAGGGTCCCTTCAGGCACTGGAAGGCCCCAGTTAGGTGACCCTGGAGCTTCTTTTCTCCAGGCTGGACAATGTCAATTCTCTCAGCCTTTCCCCATGCTTCATCTCTACAATCATCTTGGTAGCCCTCCTCTGGTCTAACTCCGGGAGGTTGATCCCACTTCCAAAAGAAGCATTTTGTTCCTGGAAATCAACCTAGGAGGAGTCTTTCCTAGTCCTGTGCACGTGAGCAGCCCTAAGGACATGGAAGAAATTGGCTCTGTGTTTTTAATGAGCCAAACATGAAAACGGATTTTGAGCACGTACAGGATATCAGCAGTCTGGATCAGGATTCCAGTATCACAACAGATCATGTTTTTCACAGTTCCCACCTGAACATTGTAGCAGAGCTTTGGATTTTGTCACTAAATCTGGGGGTCCCACCCTCTTCTCTAATCCTTGGATCTTGTTCCTTTGATCTCTTGTTATCTCTCAAGTTTTTTATCTTGAGAAAAGACCACAGGCCTCAAGTGCAGAGGAGGGAAGCAGAGTCAGGTCCTGGCTGGTGAGTCTGGCTTTGCATGGGAGACCCTGTTACATGATGTCCTTACACTTTTGTGATGTCCTTACATGTTACACGATGTTATACGATGTCCTTACACTTTTATGCCCCAGCCTCTGTCCCGTTCATGAACTCAAAGCCCTGAGCAGCAGATCACAGGGCACAGCTCACAGGAGTGTCTCCACGGGACCTGGAGAGGCACCTGGTGCTACAGTTCTGCTGCATCAGGGTGGGTGATTTGGCTCTTCCCTCCTGAGAACAGGGGTGGGAGGATGGTGTCAGCTCACCTGGGCACAACACAATTTCCCAGCTCTCACCTGAGCAATGCAGACACTACCCAAGGCCCAGCAGCTGCCAAGAGAAGCACCAAGGTGCTCCTCACATGAAAGAGGACAGAAACCAGCACTGGTCAGCAACGGGGCTCATTTATTATCTCATGAGAGTGAGTGACAACAGCTGCAGTAACGTCAGCAGAACCAAAGCTTTGCCCAGGGCCTGAGCTCTGAGCACAGGGCTCCCTGCTGCACTGGGTGGCACTGGGAGGGTTTGTGATGGAGCCAATGGATTTGGGGGATCCCTGAGCTGCAGGGAGTGGATTTGAAGGTGTTCCCAGTGGCCTGTGTCCTCCTGATGCCACCATCCCACAATGCTGATTTCTGTTTCCTCCTTCTACACCAGCTGTCTGCCTTTAAAACAAGAGAAGGCACATGCAGTCCCCAAAATAGCTACACTGTGTGTGGGACATGTACCCAGAACCAGAAGCCTCTTCCAGCAGTGAGGTTTGGGGGCAATAAGGCAGCAGCCAGACCCCATTTTCACCATGTCTGACCAGGTGACTACAGACAGGAGTGTCCCAGGTGCGCTGTGCTGTTCAAAGGGGGCCTGGTGAGCCCTTGGGTGCCTTGGCTCAGTGCTGCTGAGTGACCTCAGGCAGAGCACATGGGTTTTTCTGGGAACTGTTTGGGTTTGGCTGCTGTGGGTTTCAGAGAGCCCTTGTGAGACACTGTGGGTCAGACTGAAAGGCTGAGCATCCCCAGCTCCTGGTCTTGGCTGGAAGTGAGGGTTGTGTCCAAGCCATGAGGCTCCCAGTGAATGAGTGGGGATTCCCAGAGCAGAGGGTCCAAAACTCAGGTGTACACACGAATACACTGCTTTTGGTGGTGTGAGACAGACACCAGCCCGTTTCCAGGGGTGTGTGGGACCTGCAGAGAGCCCTAGAGGACAAGGCCTGGGGTTCCTGTGGGTGTCCATTCATTGCAGTTGGCCATTTCCAGGGGTTGCCACAGAGCAATGGCTTTGGCCAAGAGGTCTCTGCCTTGAGAAGACAAGCTTGGCTTCGCTGCAGGCTCCTGCTGGCTGCTGATGCTGCAGGGTGAGCAGGAGGAGGGTTTCCCTGACCCTCTTCCTGAGCCAGTGGGGCTCTCCCAGGCAGTTCCTAGCAGAAGTGAGACTCACACAGGGATTGTCGCCTCCCATGGCCAGCCCTGAGTGTCTGGAGCTCAGTTAGAGCCCTTCTAGGCCAGGGGCAGCTGGCAGAGCAGTGCCTGTTGCCCAGGCAGATATGATGGGGATGAGGGTAGACAGGTTGTACTGGTGCTTTCAGGGAACAATTTGTGTCACCTTGCTGGCCCCTCGGCACTGGTGCTGGCCCTCGGCGAGCGCTGCGGGGCCGTTCCCACGGCGGCTCCCAGGAGGTTTATAAGTGAGATGTGTAGGGTGGTGTGGGTGGGGAGGGGAAGAAGGTTATCCGGAGGCTGCTGCCAGACAGATCTCGGCTCTCTGAGCTTATCAGCACCTCACTGTCATTGAGGCAGGGACAATGCTCAGAGCAGCCCCTCTCCTTCCCCCTGGTGCCCACCCTTTGCTGGCAGGGAATCAGTGTCATGGAGGGGAAGCTGAAGCTGTCAAGGATGGGGCGCACTCCCAGGGGATCGGGTGTCTCACACATGTGGTCGATGTCGGAGAAGTTCACCAGAGCCTGGGTGGAGTCATAGGAGCTTTTCTCCATGTCATCAGCCCTGCAGGACTGGGAGAAGCTGCCCTTGTCCTGCCCTTTCTGCCTCAGCAGGCGGAAGTCATCTCTGAAGTGGGGGTTGAAGAGCAGGTAGAGCAAGGGGTTGAGGCAGGCAGGCAGGGGCAGGACCACAAGGAAGACGGATTTGATGACCTCTGGGGTGATAAGGAAGAGGTTGAGGGTAGAGGAGAAGGTGAGGAAGGCCACTGGGCAGTAGAGGAGGCAGTTGGTGAAGATCAGCCAGGCCACATGCTTGACCATAGCACAGTCCCAGACAGCGCTGAACTCCCCCTTCAGCAGGCTGCAGTAGAGTCGGATGTAGGTGCCGGTGATAGTCAGGAAGCAGAGCATGTTTGTCATCACCAAGGCCACACTGAAGCCCAGGGTGGTGGGTTTCCCCTCTGGAATGGGGTATGGGAGGCAGAGAGGGGATGCTCCATATTCCCCAACGGAGAAGAGAGGCAGAACGGCAGCCACAGAGGACAGCAACAGGCAGCAACAGGCAGCAGCCTTGACCTTGCCTAGGGACGGGGACTTGCCATAGCCTCGCACGCAGGAGGCTGAGAGGCTGCACTGCACAGCAGCCAGGGTGAGCAGGAAGATGGCAGCCTGGGAGGCCAGCACAGACAGGAACCCTGTGACCCTGCAGCCCGCTCCTGTCTCCCATCTGGCGCCGTATCGGGCGAAGTGGCCGTAGGTGAGGGTGTCCACCAGGGCCAGCATGCTGCAGGAGATGCCTGTCAGCAAGTTGGCCCCAGCAATGGAGCCCACAAGGAACTTCACCGGGGAGAGGTAGCTGGGGGAAGCAAAGACAGCCAGGATGACCAGCCCATTGCAGAGCACCGAGACCAGAACGATGAGCCACACTCCCAGGCGGATGATCCAGCTCTCAAACAGGTGATCACAGGGCTTGAAGGGACCTGGAAGACAAACCCCGAAGTTACACTCAGCAGAAACTGCTTCTCTCCAGTGATTCTGCTCGCCCAGAGTGGTGGCAAGGAAAATATGACATCGTCCACCCTCTTCTGCAGCTGCCTCTTGGCTCTCCCCTGTGCTCCTGACCCCACACTGGAGTCCTCTGGCATCCTCTCAGGCCTTGTCTAGGGCAGAAAAACGGTGCAGGGAGAGGTCAAAATGAAATGTAAGAAACAACAAACTGATGAGCGCTCCTAAAATGTAAAAAAGTCATGACTCCAGACTGACCAACACTCCTGGTGTCAGCCTGGCATTTGGGCCCCTCTACCACCACCTGCTCCTTCTCCTGTTCCCTCTGGGAGCTGGTGGTGTGGAGATGTGCCAGGATGCTGCACCCTGCTCTGGCACTGCCAACCTCTCTCTGTACACTCAAGACCTTGGCCAAGAGGTGTCTGTTTCTGCATGAATGGCCTCTGCACAGAGGGCATGAGCACCATGAGCTGAAGTGTCTGGGCATGAGGGACAGAGGGATGGAGCTGGTGAGGCAGGGAAGGGACAGAGGGGCAGGCAGAACATGGAAAGATATCAGGAGAAATAAAGAAGTGGATGGATGGGTGAGTGAGTAAGGGAAGGTCATGGAGGGGTAAAAAGAGGACTGGTTTAGAAGTTGTTTTCCAAAGAAAAAAGAAGAAAGTAGGGAAAGAGAGACTGGGAAATGGCATAAAATTTCCTCTGGGAGGGATTGGGATGTTTCAGTGAGCGGCTCAGCAAAAACAAAACCAGAGTGGTAGAAGTTTTAGGTGGTAGAAAGCAAACAAAATTAGAGGGAATGGAGAAATCTTTTTCATCTCAAAGGAAGTGAAGCTCAGAGTGTCAGGCAGCAGGACATGCCCTCAGCTGAAATCTTGTTCCTTTTGCAACAAATTCAGTGGAACAAGTAAAAACTCTGTCCCTGCCAGTGTCCCACAGCAGGCTGGCTGGAACCAGACCACTCCAGCCTCCAGGTGTGCTTGTAGGACCCCACTGAGCTATGAACAGGCTCAAAATCAGAGAGCAACCTCCTTGAGCCCCAACCAGCATGTGCAGTCCAGTGCCTCCCTGCTGTCCCTTCCCCAGGAAACAGAGCAAAGTGGCCCTGCAGTCTGCAGTGCCATAGGTATGATCAGGACATCAGGGACAGGGCCCTGCCTTGCAATATTCCAGGCTGGCTGAGACAAAGCCAAGTGTAAGTCATGCAAGGGAGCAGGAGAGCCAGGTCTGAGTGCAGCAGGGTGGAGGAGCTGTGATACCTGGGGATCCTGATCAGGCTTATCCTGACCTGGGCCTCCCCTCCTAGAGGGGGAGAAGGAAACTCCTCACCTGCACCCATTTGGCCTAAGCCCAACCCATCAGGCTTCTGATCTGAAAGGTATTGGGGGATCCTGGGGATTTGGAGAAGCTCAGAGGATTCCAATTCTGTTCAAAGGGTTTCCCTGGCTGCTCACCGGGGCTTGGTGTGCACTGAATAGTGGGGTGCAGCTTCGATTCCTCGAGGTCCAGCTGAAGATCATCTGCATCTAGGTCATCTGGGGAGGAGAGAACAAGAAACGGTGCTCAGATAGGAGCAAGCAGAACCATCAGAGCTAACTGGGCCAGGAGCTTTTGCTGCTGCCTGTCCTCCACAAAGACCTTCCCAGTCAGTTCCCAGCCTGCAATTTCAAAGAGGCTGCTGGTATACAGTTTGTCCCCTACAGTCACTGCTGTAGAGGGAGAAGATCTTGTAAATGTTGGTGGGTTGCAGTGCAGCCAACCCCTCTGTTTTTAGGTTACTCCCAACATTTGAAGTATAAGAGCCCCAGATCCCAGAGCTGTGTGATTGTGGTTCTCTCCTCCCAGCACTCTTTATTAAATAAAAAGTAAAGAAATACTCCAGCCTGTGTGGGTACAGAACACAAAGCCTTCAAATGCATCTTCTCTGTGGGAGCTTTCTGGGCAGGCCTTGTCCAATATTTGCTCATCAACAGGGATTTTGGGGCTTTGTTCAGAGGGAGCCATCAGCCTCTTCTTGCAGCACAAATTTTTCATCAGCAGCCACCACCAAACAGTTCAGCAGCAAAGAGACAAGGGAACACAACATTTATTGCTCTGTTTTATGCCCTGTAAAATCTTGGGGCCGTGGCACCTTGTTTTTAATCGTGGATATTCCCAGGATTTCTGAGGACAGACTGGCTGCCTGTGGTTGCAGATTCTGCATCCATGGGGTTTTGGCCCAGCCCTGCACCAGCATCTCTGTCATGCTGGCAGCTGCACCCTGAGCCAGGCTGGGGCTTGCTGAGGGTCAGGCAGAAGAAGAAGCTGCTGGAAGGGAATGGAGCCAAGCCCTCAGCTGTGTTTTCAGTGTAGGTTGTCCCCAGGGTGAACGGTGTCCTCTCAGTCTAATCCACAATGTGCTTTTCTGCTTTGTTCCTTGTTCCTGTTCCCAAAGTCCTGCTGGCTGGCAGCACTGGGACACAGTGAGGAGAGCTGCTGTCCTGCTGCCCTGTTCCCACCCATGGCACCAGCACAGCCTTCAGCTCCCACTGGAGATCTCGGGAGGGTTTTCTGCCAGCAGGAGGAAAGGAAAAGGATGTGGTTTTGTTCTTGCTACAGCCTGGTAGCCAGAGAGCTGGATCTGGGACTGTGGGATGAACTCTCTCTTGGATGAATGGACTGATGCTGGAGCCCAGGTGTGCACCTGGCAGCTTAGACACTGCCAGGAAGGCAAATTTCCACAGCACGGAAGATAAGGCTGACCTGAGTGGGATTTACATGTCTAATCTGTTTACAGGTGATGCCTCTCATGAGCTAATCTCCCTGCCTGTGTTTGAAAATGTGACTGGGACTATTTGATTAAAGGATGATGACAAATAACGTGCTATCTTTAGTGCCTCCTGACAAGCTTCATGACTTTCTCAGCTTCGGGGAGTTTGGAAAAAAGGGTCATTTAAAAAATCTGTCTGTGTAAGAATTGAAATATTACTGCTGCTCTGGAGCCTGGCAAGGAAACACTCACAGCGGGATGGAAAAATATTTCATCCTTGTATTTTATAGTCTTATAAATCTCCAGTGTCTTTTCCAGCCACAGTGCCGAGGCTGTGATGTGCAGTCACAGTACCCGAATAAAACAGACACAGGCTTGCTCCTTCTGTGCTCTGCTGAGACCCAGCCCTTGGAAAGTGTAACCTGTGCCATCCATTTTCTCCTCAAAGCCTGGTTTTAAGCCCAGGTTGAACATTTTCATGCAGTGAGGAGTGATCTTTTGTTTTGCCTGGACTACTGAGCCTGCTGGGAATTACAAAGCAGTCCTTAGTCAGCACAGTGGGATTCAAAGTGAAAAATGCACCTCTCTCTGCTGGAAACCAGTCCCTCTCCAGCCTGGAAACTGTGGAGAAAGGAAAATGGCTGTTGTGTCCTAGCCAGGCAGGCTGCATTGATTTTGAAGAAACTGTTATTTATTTGAATTTTGCTGAGGTGCTTCCACTTTCTGAGGTCTTATGGGGAAAACCCACTCTGGCAATAAGGCCCTGTCCATGAGAAAGGAGCTGCCTGTACCAAAAGCCAAGTGAGAGGAAGAGGAGCAGAATTGCTGGGGAAGGGGTAGAACAGAAAACACAGAATGCTTTTTCCCCTTAGTGCTGTCTGCTTGTTCTCTCTGTCCTGTCTGTCTCAGCCAGGGCAGTCCCTGGGCTTTGAGGGCCCTGCCCTCTCCTTGGCATGGGTGGCTGCAAGGGGCCTGGGCAGTCCTGGTTTGGGTCCTGAGCTTTCTTGAATGACAGCAGAGTATCTCTAAGGACCCTGCAGAGTTTGCCAGGGGTTGCAGAAGTTCATCAGTAACTTTACAAGCTGCTGGAGGTGCTGGTGCTGGGGGAATCATGTCCCAGTGCCCAGGATAACCCTACACATGTGCTCCCTTCTCACTTCCCATAGCTTTGTTCCATCATTGCAAACACATGCTCGTAAGTGAATACATCCCTTTCTATCCTCTATCCTCAAACCAGAGGTCCCAAAGGGAGGTGCTGGGATGGTGATGGGAGTGCCCCAGGGCACTTTCCCTGCCCTCCTCTGCAGCCACTGTTGGGGGCTGCTGGGGGCTGTCCTGGTGACAGGCCCCCGAGCCATCTTTGGGCTCCTGCTCAGCCACAGGGGACAGACTTGGGGCAGGGGGTGTCTGCTAAACACTGCCAGTTGTAATCAAAGAGGCTGAGACAACTGGGATTGCCCAGCCTGAAGGAGAGAAGGCCCCAGGATTTAGAGACTTCCAGTGTTTAAAGGGGCTGAAGAGAGCTGGAGAGCAGCTGTGGCTGCCCCATCCCTGGAAGTGCTCAAGGCCAGGCTGGATGGGGCTTGGAGCCACCTTGGGTAGTGGAAGGTGTCTCTGCACATGGCAGGGGGCAAGGAGAAGAGCTTCAAAGTACTTCCCAAACCCAAACAATTCTAGAATTCTATGATATCCCAAACATTGAAAGTGCTGGATGTGAGACCTTAAATATCCATTTTGTCAAGGTGACTGAATGATGAGACGTGCACCGACCACAGTACTCTGAGCCTCAGGTGGATGTTACTCCGATGTGAATGGACATATTCAGGTGATGCAGGGGGTGTTCCCAGACACCCAGGACTCTGGAAAGATGAGGAAGAGCTGCTCTGGCCCTGGGGTCTGTGTGCTCTGTGTCTGGAGTCAGGTGATCCCTCGGGTGCTGGGCTTGGCTGCAGGATGGGTGCTGGATGTGGGAGCAGGAGAGGCTGTAGGCAGGCAGGGCAAGGCTGGGCATTGTGAGCTATTTCGTGTCCTTACAAGGCTGTCTGGGACAAGCTGCCTTTCACGGCCCAGCCTGGGGTTCTCTGGACTCGTTTGGGAAGGACTGGAAGAAATACAGTCTGAGAGTCTCTGTCTGAGAGGACAGAGCTGGCTGGAAGTGCTCCCTGTCCCTCCCTGCTGCTCTCCCACAGCATCTGAGTGCCCTGACAAGCCTGGCTGGACCCTGCTGCGACACAGCCCTGAGGTATCTTCTCTTCAGCAGACCACTTTCCCTCTTGCATGAAAGGAATGTTTGGGAGCTTTTATCCTCTTTAATGAGAAAGTGTTACAAGGTTCATATAACCCAGCTAAATACCACCAGTGGCTGTCAGAAAGGAAGCACAGGGAACAGAAATAAAGCAGTGATTAATTAAGTAAAACAGCAATATCCCCAAACCCTTATGAGCAAGAGCAGACCCTGTTGCTGGAGGTCTGGAATGTCATCTGCAAAAGCTGCACATCATAAGGAATGATGTTCCTGTGCATTTTACATTTGCACCTCTGTGCTTTGATATTTCAAAACAGATCCAATGCTTTAACATCTGAAAATGGGAGCCTTTACGAGCTGCAAATAGTCTCATTTGGCATGTCTTAGAATCAGTCAGCATTCCCCTGGTCCCAGCATCTCATGAACACACCATTCCTGAGGCTGAGACCGGCCTGGAGGCCTGGGACCCTGTGCTAACTTTTGGTCTGCTGACAGGGCCAGGTGAGAGCATCCTTTGGGACATCAAAGACCTTGGTACCGAGCAAAAGCAGGTCTGTGGCCCCTTGTCACAAACTAGATCTTTCCACAAATGCTATAATTTGCTGTTCAAACCCTACAACTATCTGCACTAGGACTGCTGCAGTATGGGCTGCATTAATGACGGAAAAAGTGACCTGGCTCAGAAAAAAATCCTGCAGCAACGACTGTAACATGACTCCTCTGAAGTGTCTGGCCAGTGTTACCAGCGAGTCTACCAGGCATCCTGGAGCCACATCATGCCAGTAGGAATTACATTTGCTACCCTCTGGCTGGACTCTTTGCACGTCTAAAGTTTGTTCTAAGGCTGTGAAGGATCAGTGCAGGAGCAAGAGCACAGGGCTTGTGGGTCACTTGCTGGCTGTGTCACAAAGTGTCTTGGTCACCCTGCCCATAACACAGCGTCCAGCAGCTCTGGGTCTGTGTCTGCCTCCAGTCCTGCCTGCTCAGGGTGTGGGAGGACACAGAAAACCCCTGGTTTGGCTGGATGCTCAGTGCTCTGAGAGCAGGTGGGTCAGGGGCTCTCCAGGGGCACACTCCTCTTTCCATCTACCATGTGGAATTGCCCACAGGATGTCTCAGACCTTGGAAGTGCACTGTATTTACACAAATATATAAATAGAATCAGCATCCAGGCTGTGTCCTGAAATGCTGTTTGCACTCTCCAGCAGTTACAGAGGAAGGAAAGGTTCATGTTTTCCTTTATGTTATTCTGAGATTCTCTTGCAGAGGGATCACACCAGCCTTGTGCTGCTGTGCTGGGAATGCAGGGATGCCCTGCACTCTCTGCTGGCCTCCTGGAACTGGCCACATGCATTCTGTGCAGAGCTGCACTTTGGAGCACAGAACAAACTGACTCTTGGTCAGAAAGTGACCATGGAGCTCCTTCTTCCCTGCCTTGGCCAGCGCCTGTGCTGTGCTCCCCAAACATGTCCTGCTGTCACACCTAACCCTGACCTTCTCTGTAACACCAGGGGTGTGCACAAAAACAGCACACATACAGGTCTCTGTATCTCCACTCAGCAGGATATTCCAGCTCTTTGAGCTCATTCTCTTACTCAGATTAATCCCAGGGTCCTTCCTCTAGATGATGTAAGAACAGAGACTGATGATGTCCTGCCAAATGCTCCACATTGCCCAGAAGTCAAAGGACCAAGCCCAGTTGTCCCAGGTAGCCTCAGCCACCATCAAGCACTCTCCCTCCACAGCCAGCAAACATGTCCATGTTGTGGAGGGCTGCCAGGTCCTTTGGGTACATTGTGAAGGTTTGGCTGTGCCAGATCTGCTCTTTCTTCCATGCAGGGTCACCAAACAAAGCCTGTCCAAAGCATTGGGCCACCTGTGTTGAAGAAGGCTCAGCCTGCCCTCCCTGAGGCAGATGTCACCTCTGACAAATGCAGGACTGCACCCGAGCTCACAGCCCTGCCCAGGGACCCATCACCATTCAGCCCTGCTTACTCACAGTGGTTGTCAGCGTGACCTGGGAACAGTTCCAAGGTTCTCTTGTGGGGATCCTCCTCCTCAGGGCTCATGTCTTCTGCCTCCCACTGGCTGGACACCCTGAAGAAGCTGCTGCAGCTCCCGTAGGCACAGCACTGGTAGGCGTACGGCACCTCCAGGACTCTGCACGGAGGAAAGCAGAACTTTAGGGTGTGTCCTCTCCATGACCTGACTCTCCATTGCTTTGCACTTTTTGCTTCGTTCCCTCAGTTGTTCAAAGATGAAACTCACCCATACAGAGTCACAAAATATTCTGAGGTGGAAGGGACCCACAAGGATCATCATGTCCAGCTCTGAAGTGAAAGGCCCCCACAGGGATCACACCCACCATGTATTGCACTGTGCTCTAACCAGCTGAGCTAACCTCAGAGTAAAAAAAATACGGAAAACTCCACGAATCTCTGTGATGTCCCTGTGCAGGGGCCATGCTGATCTTCTCTGTATCATTCCAGTTTTGGTACCTGTGCTGCTGACATGACAAAGGCTGGTCTGTATGGTGATGGGTACAGTGGAGAGGACTTTGCTTTGGTGAATGACTCCGTGTAGGACAGGGGGTGGACCCAGGACAGCCCATGGTGTCTCTGCACTCACCCACTTTTGGTGCTTATGACTCTGTCAGTGAATGGAATGTTGTCAAACACCAAGTTTGGAAACTGCTCTAAAGTTCCCACTTCCTTGTCCTGGTTCCAGCCAGAACAGGGTTAATTTTTGCAGTAGGTGTGAGGGAGCATGACCAGGACCCAGAGGTTATTCTGTGCCATCTTACTCATTGCTGGGGGAAAGGAGAAAATCTGATGAGGGAGCCATTTGATATTTGTTTGTTATTGGGGGCTTTCCATGCAAATAACTTTTTTTCTTTCACTTTTTGTTATTAATATTGTTGCTGTTACAGTCGTGTCTTATCTCATTGCTGTTTTCAGTAAATTGTTCTTATCTCAACCCGTGATCTTGGTCTTTTGTGCCTCCAGTTGGGGAGGAGTGAGTGGTGCATGGTTTTAGCAGGAATACTAAATTGGAGAATACTATTCCTAAACCACACACACCTAAAAACTCTTCTGCTGTTCTCCTCAGAATAAACCAGCCCCTCTTTCCAATGTGCAATGTACCATCTTCAATTTTTACCCCAAGGCCACGTTTTTCCAGGCATCCTTTCTTTCTTTCAAGGGGAGAAGCTTCCCTAGAGCAAGGCTCCCCTTGCTTGTTATTGAGGTCACTTTCAAACTCCATTTCCAGGAGTCCCAGCTCAGGCAGGGAATTCTCAGGTCCCCCAAGTGAAGCAAGTTATTTTAAAATGTCTGATTTCTACTTGAAAGTTGATTTGTTAGTTGCTAATTATAGCATGTATTACAAGGTTAATTCAACAGCAGCTGAGCATCATCTGGATGCAATACCAAGCTGTCAGCAGCTGCATTTTTGGCTTTGCTGGAAGTCAGGGAGACTGCTGATGAAGGCAAAGGAACCCCAGGTTTTCCAGACAATTAAGGTCCTCTGACAAGATCAGTAAATATGGTAAAACTCTATATTCTAAAAATATGCTTTTGTTTTATGTTCTCAAACATTTCTGGCTGAGCCCCGGGAGGGTCTGGAAACTCTGTGTACAAGCTCATTTCCTGTTATAAGCTCCAAATAAGATCCTATTATTGAGAGGTGGTAGGGAGGTGCAGATCCTCCCAGCAAGGCTGAGAACTGCTCTCAGATGACTCCTCCAGACATGTGCCTCGAGAGTAAGGCTATTTAATGGCAGTACCCCAAAATTTAGGGAATGTTAATGGGTCCATTGCCTGGCATGGTTCACTGAAGCACTGCTGCAGGCTCAGCTCCCCTGGTACAAATCCAAACCAGCTCAAGAGATGCCAATGGAACTAATTTAGAGGAGAAACACCCTGGAAGTGCTGAACTTGACCCAGCCTGCACAAGGGACCTGTAGGAGTGGGTCTGGAGGAGCTCATGGAGATGCTCCAGGGCTGGAGCCCCTCTGCTCTGAGCCAGGCTGGGAGGGCTGGGGGTGTTCACCTGGAGAGGAGAAGGCTCCAGGGAGAGCTCAGAGCCCCTTCCAGGGCCTAAAGCCCTTCCTTGGCACTTGTGAGCTTGAGTCCTGTGTCCAGTTCTGGACCCCTCACTTCAAGGAAGACACTGAGGGGCTGGAGCCAGTCCAGAAAAGGGAAATGGAGCTGGGGAAGGATCTGGAGAGTAAATCATATGGTCAGTGGCTGAGGGGCCTCAGCCTGGAGAAAAGGAAGCTCCCCCTTATCAGCAGGGACCTTCCCACTCCCCACAACTGATTTAACAAGGTGGGGACTGGTCTCTTCTCCCAGGCACTAGGGGCAGGGAGAGAGGAAATGGCCTCAAACCACACCAGGGGAGACTCATGTTAGAATCAGGAGGAATTTCTTCAAGGAAGAGCTTGTTAGACATTGGAAGGGGCTGCCCAGGGAGGTGGTGGAGTCCCCATCCCGGGAGGAGTTCAGGGAACAATTGGATGTGGCACTGAGTGCTCTGGGCTGGGTGACAAGGTGGGGATTGGGCACAGGTTGGACTCGATTATCTCAGAGGTCTCTTCCAACATTAATGATTCTCTGATTCTGTGGTTCTGTGAAGAAAGCTGGAGAGGAACGTTGGACAAGAGTCTGGAGGAACATGACCAGGAATCCTAATTTCTTACTGGAAAGGGCAGGCTTTGATGGGATATTGGGAAAAAATTCTTGGCTGTGAGGGTGGGCAGGCCCTGGCACAGGGTGCCCAGAGCAGCTGTGGCTGCCCCATCCCTGGAAGTGCCCAAGGCCAGGTTGGACAGGGCTTGGAGCAACCTGGGATAGTGGAAGTTGTCCCTGCCCATAGCAAGGGGTGGAATGGGATGGGCTTTAATGTTTCTTTTAAACAAACCCACACCATTCTATCGTTCTATGACTTTGGGTGTAGAAAAACCTCCAGAAGCTTCTAGAATGCCCTGCCATTTGGAAACCAGTCATGCAGCAGATCCCAGCTATGAGTTAAAAAAGTCAGAAGAGAGAGCTCTGCAGGCACCACTGATGAGGCAGCCTGAAGGGAGAGCTCCACACTTTTCCTCAGGCCTGAGCTATTAAGCCCTGTGTTGTTGCAGTGACCTGTGGCCCCAGTCCTGTGCGTAACCTGGAGAAGCTCCAGCTTTGGGAACCCATTCTGGATGAGTGGGAGCATCAGCTCATGCATTCTTGGCTAGAAGGGAACTCCCTGGGACACCCAAGCAAGAGGTGACTGCATCTGAGAGGAATTTGTGTTCTCTGGACCATGGGTATCTAAAAGGGCAGGTGCCACACTGAGACCCAGGAGCCAAGGAGTGCCAGGAAAGTCTGAGCCTGCAGCACAGCACTCTGCTCTGAGCCTTTTGCAGCCTCTTCTTGATCAGTTTGATCCCTTCAGGCTCCTCATTAATCCATAACAGACAAGACACGGCCACACAAGCAGAGTTTATGGAAGAAAACCTGGATGTCATTAGGTAGGACTGCTTCTGGGAATGTTTTCCATTGAGAGGAGCCCTGAGCTGGGCCAGTTCCATCCTTTCCACTTGTGTGTGTGTGTTTGGGGTGGGGGTGGTGGCCTGGGAGCACATCACTGCTCTCCCGTGGAACATATTAAAGATGAGATGTGTTAGCAGCAGATGGATCTTCCTCTACCCACGGGGCTGGAGCATGGAGAAAGCATGAGATGGGCAAGGAGAGCAGGAGGGTGAGTGCTGTTAGCAAATACAAGCTGTGCTGAACACCAGAACTGAAAGAGTCAACGCTCCAAGTACCTCATTTTGGGGAAGCTCTCCTTGGTGAAGGGCTCAGAGAGAGCTGGGTTGCCTTGGAGCTTCAGATGTGTCAGTCCAGCCAAACCATCCAGGGGCAGCGTGACCAGCTGGTTGTCAGTCAAGTCCCTGGTGAGGGGAAAGCAGAGAGGGAGACCAAGGTCAGGGCTCTGGTGCCAGGGGTATCTCAGCCAAGCTGAGGGCACTGCCTCAACTGCTCCCTTGATGTGATGCTGAAATGGGGCTGGGTGTGCACTGGGGCCAGGAGCCTCTGCAGATAAACCCTGCAGTCCTTGGGAAAATGAGAGACTGGGGTTAGTGGCCATGCTGGAAGCTCTGGATGGTATCTCCCTGTGCACACAGGTGCCCCACACATCTCCTCCTGCACTGGAGGTCAGGAATGACTGCAGATCCCAGCCCATAAAATACCCACGAGTCTTAGAGAGGGGGCTGAGAACTGGGGACCCTCCAGAGCCAGCAGAGCTGGTCTGCAGTGACCCTTGCAGAAACAGCCCATTGTGCTGAACTTCCTTAAAGGCACCTCAGGTGGCTATGAAAGCATCAGGAAATGGAGATTTAAGTGTCTAGGGTGAGAGCATCTTGAAGATGGCCCCTTCTGCACTTCATCATCCCTTTATTAATAGTATTAACAGGAAACCTTGGGATTTGTTCTGTCCACATCAGTGCTGAGACATGCACCTCAACACATCAGTCTTCCAACATCTATATCCCAGGTGTTCTGGTAGCCCAGGGAATCAGTCTGAGGCCCTCACATACCTCCTATCCAGTGTGAGAGAAATATCCCTGCAACTTACAGCTTGGTGAGGGAGTGCAGGGTCACAAAGGCCTCTGGGTGAATAAACTGGATGTAATTCCAACTCAGGTCTCTGCAAGGCAAGGACACAGCAGTAAGAAGAGAGCAGAGCAGGGCACTGAAGCTGCTGACACTGGCCTGGCCAAGGGCTGTGGTGGGAGCACATGTGGGATCTGTAGCCCCTTGGTCAGCAGCAATTTCTGTCCCACTGCAGCTCCCCACAGACAAGTCTGGCTCTGTATATAGGTGATTTCTAACAGAGGGCACAAGAGTTGGCCTTGCTGGAGCTCCTCTGCTGAGACCAATGGGAAAGGATCAATGGAAAACGTTCTTTTCTAGCTTAATTTCTGTAAATTTGGGAATTTTTTGCCAACGTGCCTTAGTGCCAGAGCATCCCCAGTGCAGTCAGTGCTGGGTGCAGCAAGGCCAGATAGGACCAGGGGTCTGGGGAAGGTGATTTTACAATGTGTCTTGCCATGTACAGGTGCTTTGGATTCACTGAGTCCCCTCAATAAGCTCTGCCTCCATCCAAGTGAGAGGGCTCCACTCCCTCTGTCACCAGTGCAGAGGAAACCAGCAAATGGGGACACATTTCTGGCCCTAAGGCTGACTACAGGACAACCTTCATCTCTACAGGAGCCAAGATACCTGCTCAGATGTGTGTGACATTGGGTGGGATGAAGCCTTTCCACAGGGAGCAGAACATACCCAAAGGTCATGCCAGAGCCTGCTCAGCTGTGTGTGTGTGTGGCTGGGCTGGGGCAGTGCTGGATCCCACAAACCTGGGGTTTTTTTGAGCTTTCTGTGCTTTCTAGCACTGACCCCCTGGAGAACACTGCTTTAAACCTGAGGCCTTGGAGAAGGCTTCCAAATTTGAGTGATGAAGTTAAAATCCCAGGTGTGTAGTTAAATAGAAGTCTGTGCTTTCACATGGTGAAGGGTTTGGAATTTGAGTTTTTTATAATATAGTAATAGGCATGGGACAAGATGGAGGATTTTGGGTGGTGTTTCTTTTGGTGCTCATCTTTCTTCTTCATGATTTCAGGTAGTAGTTTCTGGTTGGACAGTTAGTGCTGCACTGAGGGTCACAGGAGTTTGGTTATTGAGTTAGAAGTATAAATAATACAGGTGTTATTTCTCTATTGGACTGTTGAGCTTTAAGAGAGCTTGTAGCAGCTGGATCTCTCTCCATTTTGCTTGCTTCTAACTGGTGGCTAGAAGTGTTGCTGAACTTTCTGTACTTTTGATAAGATTTACTAAACAACCAAGCCCAAACCTGAGAAAATTCATTTCCTTCGTGTGTTTTTTAATCCTGGCTCTTACTGAAGACAGAAGAGACTGAGACAAGCCACTAATTAAGTGGTGCAAAGCACCACCCCATTACAGGGCAGCATGCTCATGTTTCCCTGAGTGTCTCAGTGTCCCCTGTCACACCTCAGTGTTCCTGGGCAGTTGTAACTGTGGTGACACTCACGGGACCCCAGGAATGCTGGGCTGTTAAATGGCTCTCACATTGCTGCAGCACGGGAAAAGATTTTGTGTGATTTAGTTCACTTCCTAACAGAACAGCAAATAAAGACTGTCAGGGCTCTTCCCAGATGTCAGAGCCAGTTGTGCCCTCCAGGGGCTTACCAGCTCCCCAAGGTGCCAAGCACTCAGGAGGTCACTCTGTGTGGGAAGTTCATGCTTGGGTGCACTTGGTATGTGAACACGAGCTTTGGAGTTGTGGGAGGAACTTTCAAACCAAACAGGATGCTCTGCATGGGTGTTCCAGGTGGCTCAAGACCAGCCTGGGTAGGACAGGGGGTGCTGGCACTGAGGTCCACTGGGGTAAATCCCTGCCCTGAGTTCCTCCTGGCATGCAGGAGGCCTCTCTGTGATGTGGGCTCTGTCTTGATGTCTTGGGTTGCAATACAGGATATAACCAAAAGTTTGTATTCTATCACCATCTGATAAACCAGCTGTTGCAGTGTTCTCTATCTCCTCCACAGCCCATCCTCCCTCCCTCCAGGAGATCTCTCCTGTTCATGGCCATGCAGTCCCAGGGCAGGGCT